GTGATGGGTATTAAAGAGGGCACATATTGAATGGAGCACTGGGTGTTATATGCAAACAATGAATCATGGAACACTACATCAAAAACTAATGATATGGTGATAACATAACATATAAAATAAAATTTTAAGAAATCATAAAAAAGATGAGGTAGATATATACAACAAAATATTGCTCCACCATAAAAAACGATGAAATCTTGCCATTTGTAACAACATAGATGGAGCTAGAGGGTATTACACTAAGTGAAATAAGTCAGACAAAGGCAAATATCATATGATTTCATTTACCATAGAATCTAGAAAACAAAAATGAACAAATAAAACAAAATAAAAACAGACTCACAGGGGCAGGAAACAAACTGTTGATTACTACAGAGGACAGGGGTCAGAGTAGGGAGGCAAAATATGTGAAAGACTTAAGAGTTACAAACTTCTAGTTAGAAAATATCAAGTTATGGAGAGATCATGTACCGAATAGAGAACAAAGTCAATAATATTTCAATAACTTTATATGGTGACAGTAACTACATTTATTGTGGTGATCATTTCATAGTATTTTAAGTTGTCAAATCACTATGATGTACACAGGAAACTAATAGGGTATAATATATCATAATTATACTTCTATAAATAAAATAAATAATTAAATAAATAAATAATGCTAATTTCTAGTAATAAATACACGACAACAGTAAAGGAAGTTAAAAATGCTTAGGGTTCTTCAGTTATTTTGTACTATGTATAAATTCCAGGACACCGTAGACTTTCTTGTATTTTAATCAGAGGATATTTTATAGACCCTAAAGGGTTTCAGTGGCCAGAAAACTCTCATCTGTACATCATAGGTTATGGCTTTTTAGGTTTTTTTCATCTCTTCCAAGAAATCCTTTTTCAGTGATTTATGTTTTTTGAAAATATTATCCCCCTAATCTATGTCCATACCAAACAAGGAAAATCATTTTCCATGACCTGAACCCAAGAAGTTGGATAATATACTCTAGCTAAACAAAGGGTGCCAAAAGAACAACCAAACATGCAAGCTACTTCCTGATTATCTTAAAATAAGCTCTACAGTTTATTAAACACACCTGAGACAGCTCAAAAACATCCAGACATGTTCTGATATTCCTAAAGTCTTTTTTTTAACCATTCATTGAAATGTGAGATTAGAAAACTCTAGATATAATACTTTTTTCTTTTTCTTTCCTTTTCTTTCTTCTTCTTTTTTTTTTTTTTTTACCTTTGATCCTTCAGGGCCATTTTGTCCAGGAATCCCAATATCTCCTGGAAAACCCTAGGGAACATAAAAATATAGAGAATTTACTCAACAGCCATTACTATAAATCCAATAAGCATATGAAAATTTCCTTTGCCATTCTCTCATTCCCAGTTAAAGTAATTTATACCACTCAAAAACTCAGTATTAAAGGTCTATTATTAGGCAGTTGTTTAACACTGGAATACAAAACTGACAAAGTTACTTCACCAGTTCTTCACCAGTTATTCAAAATCTTCAGACCCAAAGAAAACTCTTTAATCCAGTCTAAGAGAACCAAAGTCTTAATCCAAAACCATCCACAACATGGAAAAAAGGCAAAAAGGTTCATAATAGGTCCTTTCAATGACCTACGGGACACATGGTCACCCAAGGATTAGGGGAATGTAATTTGTTAGATTCACTGTTTACTAACCAAATGTTAACTTGTAGATTTTTGTTAGTTAGAAATGCAAATAACTTTTGTCTGATGAAAAAAATAACCATAAAGGTTATGGGTTAATATACAGGACATTAATCAGTTTTGTATCTAATTTAATTATCTTATTCTAACATTCCCATATTTAATAATCAATACTTAGCTCTTCAAATGCTCGTCAAACTCATCTTAATATCTTACTGGTTTCATCATTAATTAATGAGTTCAAAAAATTTTTTCACACCCATGTTTACTTTATATTTGCCTAAGAATCACAATTTTACCTTTTTGGAAATTGTATTTTAGCAGCCTAACATAGTTGGCTCAAGAAATAGAAAGGAGCTGTAGTGTTAAATAAAATCTGTGCTGGGGAAAGGTCTAGAACGTTGCTCTAAAATGGTTAGATCAATCAATGTTCTCACTGAAATAATGAATTAGAATGTGATTCATCATGATCAGTTTTAATAATGAGAATAAGATAATAAGTGCAGTTTTACCTCTATTGATTTTGTCACAGATAAAGCTGTTTCAGTATTTCCTGCTGACTTGGGCAAAGGAACAGAAGGTAAGACGAGTACAAGAATCAGCATCTTTTTAAAAAATATTTTATTTTATTTATTTGAGAGAGAGAGAGAGAAGGAGTGGGAGGAGGGGCAGAGGGAGAAACAGACTCCCTGCTGAGCAGGAGCCCAATGTGGGACTCCAACCCAGAACCCTGAGATCATGACCTAAGCCAAAGTCAGATACTTAACTGACTGAGCCACACAGGTGCCCCAAAAATCAGCATCTTAAAAAGTAAAAGTTACAAGTAAATATGAATGTGAGCTAGAAAAGGTAGTTCAGTGAAGAAGTAAATATCATGGTAATAAAAATGCCCACATGTTACATGGAACTGCAAGGATGATTCTGGAATACTCATCCTGGAAAGAAAAATCAAAAGAAAGTGATACTAACTCATCCAGTCCAGATTAGGACAGAAATGCCTTGGCTCTGATTTAAAACTTGTATTCTATAGAGAAAAATATTACTTAGGGACATTTCTGGCAAGAGAAAAGACAGTGATAACAGAAAAACTGGTCATAGGATCAGATTTAAGTTTAGCAACAGAATTGTTTAATATAGACTTGTTCATTGCTTTTCTAATGAAAGAAAAAATCAGGTTCCCCTATGCCTTCTCTGTCTGCCTAAATAATTTTCCCTCATCTTTCTTCACCTGGAAGATTTATGTTTTAAATAGAATAGAAAATTGAATAATATTTTTCCAAGTTTTATTTAAATTCCAGCTAATTAACATACAGTGCAATATTAGTTTTAGGTGTAGAATTTAGTGATTCATCACTTACATACAAGACCCAGTGCTCATCACAAGTGTCCTCCTTAATACCTATTACCTCTTTAACTCATCCCCCTGCCCACTTCCCCTCCAGTAACCATCAATTTGTTCTCTGTAGTCAAATTATGGAAGGAGCCCAAATATCCATCAACTAATGAATGGATAAAGAAGATGTGGGATATATAATGGAATATTGCTCAGCCATAAAAGAAATGAAATCTTGCCATTTGCAATGACATGGATGAAGCTACTGAGTATTATGCTAAGTGAAATGAGATAGCCAGAGAAAGACAAATACCATATGATTTCAGTCATATGTGGAATTTAAGAAACAAAATAAATGAACATAAGGAGGAATAAAAGGCAGACAAACCAAGAAAACTGAATGATGTTTGGCTTCTTTGATCCCCAAACCATGAGTTAGTTCTCTTCTAAGAACTCTCACACTATCCTAGAGTCCTACAAGGTCACTTAATGTAGCGTTATGGCTTATATTATTTTCCTCATCAGATTGTAAACTCTTTGAAGGTAGTTTTAGGTTTTATGAACTATAATATTTCCAGCAACTAGTACAACACCTGGTACATAGTAAGTGCTAAAAAATATATTTTGTAGTTGTCACTGTCAGGTGACTGACTTGTTTCTCTCAGAAAAAAAACAAAACAAACAAACAAAAAGAACCTGGCAAGTCTGGTAGCTACTTTTGGTCCCTGGGTATTGGTTTATAACCACTGGTTCAGAGGATCCCCATGGATAAATTCATAGTTCCTGTACATCCTCCTGATGAGCCTGAAACACCTTGTCATTCCAGAAAGCAAAAAGACTATAAAAGATGTCAAATCGAGAGTTATGATAAAAGAACCGAGGGGGCTTGAAGAGGATCCCACTGAGCAGACATGGGATAATATGAACTTCAATAAGGATAAGAATTGCAATGGATTGAAACATATCAAATATGTTTAAATGCATGAGTTTTAATGATACAATTAAAGAACTGCCCACTTTTAGAGGATGAAAGGAAGTCAACTCCTTATTTTGAAAATCGGTAAAGGTGAAGAATCGAGCATTTATTCTACTTTCCCATATATACTGTGCCACTACTAACCAAATAGTAGATGAGGGAATGTATTCAGCCAACAAATAAAAAAGAAATGATACAGCAAAAATATCTCCATTTTGCAACCACCTAACTCTAATACATCTGGGCAGTTGAGTAATCAACTGTTACTAACATCATAAAAAAAGGAACTAGACATTATGTGCTTTCTGATGAACGAATACAGGATCACCTATAGTTTCACCAAAAACAAAGAAAACTGAATATGGCCAGGCCTCTGTATGTGACTACCCAGGTCACATGACCAGGGATCTTTAACAGCTAATTTGTAAGGGGGAAAAGGGAAATGGAAAGAGAACTTGTAGACTGAAAGACATAGTAACAAAATAAGCCTACGCTACAGTTGACTTGAATGACAAACCATAAAAGAAAAAAGCACTGCCAACTTTTGGGAGGAGAGGAAGGCTTATGGTTGGGTTGAGATGCAAAAAAGCTTCTGGGGATAACTGGCAGTTCTATTCTTGACCTGCATAGCAAACACAATAATGTTTGTCTTACAACTGTTGTGATACACATTTGTTTTATACAGTTTTTGTATCTGTGTTTTATTTTTCAATAAAACAGTAAGATAAAAGTTATTGAGGTGACTTCTGGGTAAACATGGAATATTAAGTATATTCATGAATATCTGTTCCTTCTTAAACATTAAAATAATAGTAAAGGAATATTAAAAAGACATTAAGTGTCAAAGACCAGGGGAATAGGAGACAACAGATGTCAATAATTTGGAAGCCTTTTATTTCTTTTTGTTGTCTGATTGCTGTGGCTAGGATCTCTAGTACTATATCAAATAAAAATGGTGAGAATGGACATCCCTCACTTGTTCCTGACCATAAAGGAAAAGCACTCACCTGTCAGAATGGCTAAAATTAACAACACAAGAAACAATAGGTGTTGGCAAGAATGTGGAGAAAAAGGAACCTTCTTGTACTGTTGGTGGAAATGCAAACTAGTGCAGCCACTCTGAAAAACAGTATGGAGGTTCCTCAAAAAGTTAAAAATAGAACTACCCTAGATCCAGCTATGGCACTACTAGATATTTACCCAAAGAATGCAAAAGTACTATTTCAAAGGGATACATGCTCCCCAATGTTTACAGCGGCATTATCTACAATAACGAAATTATGGAAACAGTCCAAGTGTCCATCTACTGATGAATGGATAAAGAAGATGTGGTATATATACATACACACATATAATATGCATATATTTAATGCACACTCACACAATGGAATAATACTCAGCCATCAAAAATAATGAAGTTTTGCCATTTGCAGTGACATGAATGGAACTACAGAGTATTATGCTAAGTGAAGTAAGTCAGCTAGAGAAAGACAAATACCATACGATTTCACTCATATGTGGAATTTAAGAAAAAAAACAGATGAACATATGGGGAGGGGGAAAAGAAAAAAAGGAGAGA